GTCTGAAGACCCTCATGGGTCTCTCCCATTAAGGTTGCTCTTAGGTGTTAAGTTTGTGAGACACAACTCACTCTTTATATAATAGATAATATTATATAACTAAACTTTATATATTAATTGACTGGACCAAAGAAAATTTCATAGGCCAAAATTGCAAGTCTTAAATAATAGTAAATTGGGCCAAAATTTTTTTGGAAAATAATTTCTAATTTACGAGATAATATATATATTATAATCATCATTGTCTGAATATTCCACGAGAGGAGAAAGGATATTCTAATCTACAAGAGAATCTATATATGAGAAAAAAATCTACGAGAAAATATAATTATTATTACCTGAATATATATATATATATATATAGAAATAAAACTTTTAATATACAAGAGAATGTATATATTAGAAAAAAATCATATAATATGATAATTATTATGTAAATATGGGAAAAAAAATTATAATCTATGAGAGAATGCATATAGAGAAAAAAATATATGAGACAATGTAATCAACATTATGTGAATATGAAAAAAAAAACTCTAATCTACGAGAAAATGCAAATGCATATATAGGAAAAAGAATCATACAATGTGATAACACTCCCAAAAATTTAATCGTCACTTACCAACTCTTTATATGAATCAAATTAATCTTGCCAACCAAGTTAACGTAATTAATGTAATTTATCAAATGCATCATCTCAAAACCCTAAACTACAAACAATTATAAAAGGCTACCTTTATAGAACATAAACGACCACACCTAAGCTTAATTCCAAAGGACCAAACCCTCTATAGTAAACTACATTACATTCAAACGGCTGTTTCTCTACCAATCTCCTACCTCAACGAAGTGAAGCGTTCAAAACTGGCTGGCGCGTCGAAATTAAAGTCCTACATACATGGAAACAATACAGTAAAATGACTGGAGAGACACTTAAATGTTTTTTTAGCTGCTGAATACATTTGTATGATTTCCTACTGTTTTTTACTTATAGAGATATATTTATAAACACACGTTCCTCAAATTATACTAGCATTCTTGCAATTACGTGGACAGAGACAAAGATCCATGCTTCAGTTTAAAAAAGATGACTTCATATACGGACCAACTCAATATTTGAAATTCAGCCCCTAAAAATATGTACTATATTATCGTTAAGTTTATAAAAATAACTGTTTTTACAAAATATTTTTTTTACAAAGTTATTTTACTTAATTGAAGGTAAAATAAAGTTCCCCCATGCTACAGTGCAGGTTTATTCCTAGATTTCATTTAAATTTACATCTTAATCTAGATAATTTTAATAAGATTATATCCAAAATACCAAAGTTTTAATTTAATTATACTTTTAGGCTTACTCTTAACTATATTAATTTTAATTCATGTTCTAAATAATATTTATAACTAAATAATTTTCAAATTATTATTTTTGACATTTGTAAATTTGTATTTTTCTGAAATATAATTTTTTTTATAAGAATCAAAACATGATTTGACAATTAAAGAAGAACCAACATCAATACCAAACATGAACTCCAAAAATCTTAATATTAGTGCCAAACATAATAACTCTAAAATATTTGAGTTTTGAGGTTTACCAAAATTTGAGCATAGATGGTTCAGGAAATCAGATGTTTCCAACAAAGTTCTTCTAAATTAGCGTTTGTAGCCCCTGCAAACAAACAAAACTGCGTTAAGAAGCAGGGAACAATTGGGGTCTATCTAGTGCAGAGTCAAAATCAAAGCTAAAAGACTTTCAAGAAGGTTACACACTGGTTGAATAACTCATACAGGAAGACCAAACAACAACAGATGCTTAAAAGCAGAGAGCCAAACGTATCACTTCATATCACTTCAAACTAGAAACATTTACGCACAACACATCACAGCAAAAGCAACTCAAATCTCAGGAAAGACAAAGACAAAGATCACATAAAGATAGTCACTTATAACAACATGACACTATCTGATTCTGAAACATGACCTTAGTTAGCATTTAAGTAGTATTCTCACTTGAGATTAATCTATTATATAAAAGTTGAGTTATGTTTCACAATCTTGACACATCATCTACCATTTTGACATATCAGATTGACACATAAATTTAATCACTTTGACATAACCTCATTGTTATCGAATGTCTTGGAAAGTGTTTTCTAAAAACTAAAAGTAATTGAGAAGTTGAATCAGATACATGGTTCTTCCATACTCTTAATCTCCTTTCTTCTATCGAATTCAGTCAATATTCCACATTTACATCTACAATTCCAAAACACTAATGAACAATAATTTCAGTTCTAATAATATATATATATATATATAAGATATAATTGAAATTCTAATGGTTGACATTCCATTCTCCAAAACTTATAATTAATCATAGACAATCGTCTCACTGTAGCATCTCTCTTCTAGCCACAAATCTTACTTTGTGGGAAAGAAAAACTGGCTTTAAGCCTCACATTGTTATTGGAGAGAAATTTGATGGATTGATTGTGTTTCAGGTAACCTTTGTTGCAAGTTTTGATTTCATACATTTTTAGATATTTGGTTTTGCAAATAATATCAAAATTTTCATTTGAATAGTTGCAGGAGGTTAGATTCAATGAGGTTTGAGAACGTATGAACTCAGGCGATTGTCTATGACGAGGTGATTGCGTTGGAGACCAAAGTTGAACGCATTTTCCTCACAACAACGCTGCTCTGCCTCCTGCTCGGACATTAAATGTTATCTTCTAAACCTGACTTTGTCGTTATGGTTTTTAAATCATGCGTTGGCCTTTGTATTGAATGGTTTAGTCGACTTGATGTTCGTTTGGATATCATTAATAAAAAAAAAATATCATTAAGAATGTCTACAATACTTATATATTCATGAAGTTTTCTCGTATGAAGCAGATTGCTTTAGTATCTACATATTATATACTTATAATTCTGGGGGTATTTGAAGGAATCAAAGAAAGCCTAGACACTTTCCTTCATTGCTACCTTGCTATCATTGGGTGTAAATATTAGAAACGATTATAAAAGCGACTTATATTTCTCTGGTTTTCCATTCTAATAGAGTATCATTTGTTTCAATTATTTATCACAAGCTAATAGGTTTAGTCATTTAGAAAAGTTAGCATGTGACCGTTTTAAGTTCTGCGTTCATATATCTTTCGATAAATCATCTATAAATAAGTTAGCATATGGCGTTTGCTTTCAAACAGCAAATATTGGCTGATGAAGCCATTGAAGATTCACTCTATGGATGGCATGACTGGTTGGGAGGTAAATTATGGTTGGATAGATGAGGTCTAATTTTTGGGAAAAAATGGCAATTGTGGTTGTGAGAACTATAGAATATGTGATTGTGTTTGATTCCACGAAAACATGAAAGGCTAATTGAGAAAGAAGGAAAACAAAGGAGTTAATAAATGTGTTGTCTAAGATATCAAATGAAAAATGTGATGGAAAAATAAGAAAGGCTTTTTAGGAAGAAGAGGATAAGAAGAATCTATGAGTGTCTTCGTGGATTGAAATAGGGTGGTGTTTGTATGGTTTCTATTACCAGATGTTATATTCATATTATCGCAAGACGAAAACAGAATTACTAAAGGGAAAGTGGGAAACCATACAAAACTAAATTTTGTTAAGATTTTCTTATAAAAATTTGAGTTTCCTAATGAGTTTTAGAGCTGTATATGAATACGAATGGTTTTATATGATTAAAAACTTGGTGGATTTTTTTTAATTGAACTTTTTGATCTTTAGAGCTAAATATGATTAAAGATGGTTTTTTATTATTAAAAAATTTGATGGCTTGCAAGAATCGAACTTCAACTTCAAGCTACTACCAAACCTAAGACAGTTATTTAGCAAACTATAGGTAATATAACAAACTAACAACAACACATATACTACAAAACATAAGTTTATAAATGTTAAATAACAACTGTTAGAAAAAGAAACCCGCGTGTATACGCGGATATTCATCTAGTTCAACTAAATAACTACATGACAAATAAACGGACAGCGACAAAATTCAACCACCTAACTAGCCAAGAAAGATCCAGAAAAAAACTCACAATCATACTAGTGATAGAGATCCTTACAAGAGCATGCTACAACATCTACCATACTTCCTAGATAAACAAAATGCATGATACACCATCTAACATACATACGAGTGTATACATATTCAAGAGTTTCACAGCAAATCAAAATCATTCACAATCTAAAATAGAAGACGCAAGGATACAAAGATCACATTTTTGTTTATATGGAAATCTAATTCCTTTCGCCATCTCAATAGTGATGGAATCATACATTACCTTCATCATTCTATCACTAGCCACTGTGAATAGAACATGCCCATCATTTTCATCAAAATAATGTCCATACGATTCCACCACTTCCTAATATGCAAAAATCAATATCCTCTTGCTGTGAATCTGTGATAAAATTGTGAAGACATATTGTTGTTGTCAAAATCTTGACCCATTTCTTCAGCTCATATTTGGGGTGTTTCCTGTGCACCAAAGGTTCGCTCAATTATCAATCTCAAACTAGAATATTTGCGGTTAAACAACTCCCTACTGCTTGTGTAACCATGAACATTGCAACACTCTCCCCAAGATAAACATGACAAGATTCCTCTAACTTATACTGTTTAAATAGACTAATAAAATTCCTAAATGTTGACTGGTGCATGCATGTAATATGAAAGTATTGTACCTTAGACTCAAACGTTAACTGTTGCGTAAGATACCAGCCTTCACCTTGATATTTCCTCACTAATTGTCTGTCAATATTAACTTCCATCACTCCATACATTTCTTCTATAAAATCATACATGTTTTTCTCTGTTTCCATAAAACATGTTGATGAAAAAAAACAAGATGAATAAGTGTAAAGTGAGATGTTAAAATTCCTAAATGAATAAGTGAAAACAGTAAAAAATCAGCGTTAAACGGAGTACCTTTTACATCACCATGGGTGTTTCCTAACACCTTTAAGTGAATAAGGGAATTCAGGATTCCCCAAAAAATATAAAAAATCAGTTCAATATCTTGTTAGCAAATGAAAAAAAAATGAAGATAGAGATCTTATTGACCATCATACGAACAAAGTGGCATCATGGAATTGACACACGATGAAAAGGAGGAAAACTGATGTTTGGTATTCATCAATCATTTTCTCTGTAATTCACAAAAATATGTGGTTTGTGCAAACTATTTTTGGGTAATTGTTTATATATGCATTCTCTTTTTTTTTTTTTTCAGATATTCAAGAGTTTTGTTGTGTAGTTCACTATAATTGGAGTTGAGCATTATCAATTAGAAAAGAAAAGTCAATTGTTTTCTTTTACCTTTGACTTGAACACGTCTTTTACCTTTGGCTCAAACTCATATGATGTGCGATTTTTGTTCATTTATTATCCTACCATTCCATTATTATTCATTGGTCCAAACTTTATTTATTTGTTTCTTTTCACAGTAATTTGTTGGGCAATGGCATTTATTCGTACGATTGAAGCACTATATAACATTTGTCAAATATTAGAAAACTAAAGATCGTTTTCGATTCAGCATTTGGTAAACAACATGAAAACTAGGCGACTTGGATAAGAAGATAGACGAGATCTTGGAAATTATGTTGCAGAGAATGATGTATTAGAGGAAGCCGAATGTTCTTATTCACGTGCCAAACACACTTGTGCACATGAGAACGTAATTTATAGCATAATTTGTATGTTTCATAATTTAGTGTAAAGAAACAAACAAGTTAGTAGTCGGCTACTCAATAGCGTAAATTCTATAGAATTGAGTATATTTATTTTTATAAAATATTTTTTTATCTAATTGTTTATTGATTTTATCTTATGTTCCTTTTAATAATTACATTATGAATCTATAGTATTGATCTTCCAAAAGATTTCCATGTTACTCTGACCATAATTTGCCAATTGGGAATATGAACCTATTTCTAAGGAATATTCAAATTCAAAACATCGTGGTGAAATTTTATGTGGTTCAAAAAAACCATCTATCTACTGCCACTTTTTCTCATAGTATTTCACAAAGTATTGTTCAAAGTGATGCACCTAAAAAGTATAATTTGCTAAAATTTTGGAAATTGAGATTGAATTTAGTGATCCCAAACAACTTTCAATGAGATTTCCAATGTTTAGTAGTACATGGCACCATCTATGCATATCCCTGCACCCATACATTAGCAGAACATATAAATCAACAGAACATGAAACCTAAAACACATCTAATAAACCATAAACACAGAAAAAGAAAACCCAAAATCATTGCAGAAAAGATGCAAGAAACTCTTTATTGATGGCTCAAAAGCCATAGATCAAAAATGTCCAAATCATGCCAAGTTTCTAATAGTATTACCCTTAATCAACCCTTTTTTATGAAAGCTATGAATAAAAGTTTAAAAGTAATATTGGAACAATGTCACAGGTCTATTTTAGTAACAATGCCACGTCTATTATAGTTTGTGGTTCTTGAATGTTTATTTAGTAATTTTCCGATCTATTTTTAAATCTTGACAAATATCTTTCACGTGATTTGTATTTGACGAATTTATAGTGCGAAAATGTGAATTTGGTTTGTTTTCTAAGTTGAATTTTCTAGAGTTCAGTAGGAGAATTTATCTCATGAGCAAAGTAATTTGGTTTGTTGACAAAATTTTGGTTTTCTTATCTTTCACTCATATTGATACAATTTTTCGAGATCTCTTTATCGTAATCAATCTATTAAAATATAGAATTGATGTAGGCAACTGGAAGCCTATTGGCTAAGTTATTATATTGATCAGAGCTAAATTCGAGAGAAAATATCATCAAGGATTGCAGCAAAACTTTTATAATATTCCAAAACCTTAGTAGCATCGCCATCTCTTGCTGCATAATCCAACTACAATTTTTTTTATTAGAAATTCAAATTAATAAATCAATAATGAGTACATATAAATATGTTAGTTCGAGTCAAAAAATGAAGTGTACCTTTGTAATTGTATTGAAGAGAGATGAATAGAGACTCCTAAGAAGAGGTCTATCCTTGGGAGGCTTTGCTTGGATAATTAAATACAAATCTTGTTTCATGTTTGATGCATTTCTCCTTAACTCTTTCCCTCCTTCTTTCCAAGTCTTACTTTCTATCATCATCTCTTTTATTTCCTTTATATTTTCGGCATTTTTTCTTAACCCTTCCTATCAACGATATTAAAAAAAAACATGAATAATTCACATCCATAATTCTTTTTTGGGTACAACTATGTGCCCATTGAAACTGTTGATACAACGAGTCTGCCACAAATTTACTTCAAATACAAGTTATATGACTAATAAAACCCGAATAATCCATAATATAATTGTTTGTACACACAGAAATCGAATTTTTGAAATCCCAAAGGGCCAAAACCAAAATTGTAACATTAGTGATATGTAAAATATATGTATCTTCAAACAACAAGCTTCTTGTAAACTCTAAACATTTGATAAAATCCGAATCAGCTGAAGAAAAAAAACCGTGACCAACGACATGTAGCCTAATGGTTTGTTATAGTTTCATCACTGTGTCATTATTCAAGTTCAAACACGTATATATCATGTATGTTGTTGACTAAAAGAAGTTATGGAACTTTTGTGACTGAATTTACGTAGAATCCTTAGAGAGCAAATGCCATTTGTTTCAATCAATTGAGACAATGGTCTACAATGAAAGGGACCAAAGAGTAACTAAAACCGAGGGATAAGTAGTTTATAGTTACCGGACCTGAGCAATCTCGACCGTACGTTCGGGCTCGGGTTGTGGCGCGAGGAAGCTGAAAATATTGGCGGCGTTCGCATAGGAAGAGCGTTTGCGATCGAAAAACAACAGTTGAGGAATTAGTGTTGCTGAGATGGAGAGAAAAACGTCTCTTCGTATTCTTCTTGATGAATCAATAGAGAGTGTAAAGATAGAACCCGTTGCTTCTAGCGGAGGGTCTTGATTGTGAATGGGAGTAAAATGTGGTGGTGGCTTTGAGAGAGCCATGTCTCTTGAGTTTGATTGAGCATAAGAAAAACAAAGGAAATCAAGAATGTACAAGAAAAAGAAGAAGATAATGCTGAGGCTAAAATTGTAAAAGCGATAAGGAACACCACTTAAAAGGTTTTTTTTTGACTAAAAATTATATTTTAGCAAATTCAATAACAATTAAAAAATGCTGTATATCATTTATGTAAATGCTTCTATTTTTTTCTATTTTAAAAAGTAAAAACTTTCTACATTTTGGTATAAATAATACTTCTTGATATTCACCAACACGATTCTTTAGCCATGTAAATATGTAAAGAGAAATTGCACTAAATAATCATCAAACAAATTATAGTTAACAAATTAACTAAAAAAATATATGAACTTGATATTCTCTATATATTCTATATTAATACCCTTTTACCCTTTTTTATTTTTCTTTTTTAAATTTTTCTTTTTTCCCTCTTTTTCTCTCTCTCTCTTACTACTTTCTCTCTTTTTCATTCGTTATTTCATGCAGTGCTTTATATATTTCTCTGTGCCTATATCATCGTCATTATCAACAATCTCGCCAAAAAATCACAAAAAAAATTTCAATTTTCACCAGATTATATGTTTATTCATCTTGATTCTCCTTCTCTCCTCCCACGATATTCTCCACCTGTCTCATCTAATAATTCCAACTCGTTCATGGCTTCGTTCATTCTCTTCTGATTCCTTCCATCGACAAAGACGTTAATCCTCTTATAGAACATTTGTTATGCAATTGGTTTTACTTAAATTGTTGAACTTTAAAATATGGATCTAAAAATTGAATTGAATTAAATTGTGAACGGATCTAAAATTAAGACGAGAAGTGTTAGTTCTTCATGAAACAGCTGAAAAATATTTTGTATAGAAAAGTTATTTTTGATGTATATAGAACATTGTCCGTGATTAGCTAAGTTATCATGTCATTGAATCGATTTTTTTGTAGAATAATATATTGGTCCATTGTAAATCATATTAATATATGGATGAACAAAATGTTCAAAAGTTTTGCTATTTTTTATTTGCTAATTTTTTATATATGTATAGAATGTCTATTTTCTTTTTTAAAAAAAAAACCTATTTAGCGACTACTTCTATCACTAGTATCACCAAAATCAATTTTGTTTGTTTAACGGTAAGCTATATCTTAGCGACTCTAGAAACTTCAAATAAGTGGATCCTTTAGTGTCGAGTAAACAACAAATTTTGGATTCTCGGCGATAAAACCTTCAAAAGGCATATTCATGAATCTGCTAAATTTCTGAAAAAAATAGACATGTTATTGATAAAAATAGACTTACCATATTATTGATGATACTATTCACGTATGAAAAATAATTGTGTTAGTTTTTGAAAAATCAAATCATGGTAGACGTGAAAATAAATCAGTATTTTGTGTGTAATTTACATAACTTAATTAATTAGTAGAATATTTTTGACAGAAAATATAAAATCTATGGGGTAACAATATGTGTTGTCTATAGTATGTTAAAGAGAATAAAATTGTCCAAAAAACTGGTCAATTGTTATTTACTTAATTTTGATATATTGATGGTTATATTTTTCACACTTTGTTAAAATTTGTTATTTGGAATTTTGGTTATTCACCTAATTATTCCATCTGTAAATAGATCAGAATGTATGTGGATATTTAAAATTAATATAATTCGAAAAGAAAGACACTCAAAAATACAATATTATAGGAATACTATTCTTAACTCATAGAGAATAGAACAAATTTGTAAATAATCATTATGAATAATTATAACAAATTTTCCAACATCAGTGACACATGATCCATACATATCCAAATTTTCGGGACCGGATACATATATCTTAGTTACATATTTCATATAATTTTTTTTTTCTTTTTTGTGAACTAGATTATTATTAACTCTAAATTATCTACAAACTTGATATTCTTTTACATGAAAAAAAAAGAAAAGAAAACTCGTTTTAGATCTCGTCATTGTCACAGTCTTCTCCATCGTCATCATCATCTGGTTTTTCCAAGTTCATCATAAACCTAAGTGAGTCTCCTTCTTCTACTTCCCACTGCTTCTTCAACGCAATAATCGCTCTCGAAGCAGCTGCTGCAATCGCCGGGTTACTGTCCTCAGCGAGTCTCTGTCACCAAATGAACAGAGAATGATCATCAAGATCAAGATTTGCAAGAACGGTCATCAAGATCAAGATTTGAAAAAATAGTCATCAAGATTTGAAAGAATAGTCATCAAGATTTGCAAGAACGGTCATCAAGATCAAGATTTGCAAGAACGGTCATCAAGATCAAGATTTGCAAGAACGGTCATCAAGATCAAGATTTGAAAGAATAGTCATCAAGATTTGCAAGACCGGTCACCAATATCAAGATTTGAAAGGATGGTCATCAAGATTTGGATTTTTCTTTTACCTGTAACGCACCCATGCCTGCATTTCCCAGTGTCCACATCGATGGTGCAGCTGCTAAGGCGTTAGCCAACGCTTTTCTACACCAAGAAGACAAAAATCAAAAGACCAGAATCAAAGAATGGCCAAACGATGGAATATGAATCACATTAGTTAAAGCAAAATATCTCCAGACCAGATTGTGTCATTGGTTTGGAAATGTTCTGTGAATCAAATTAAGGTCAATAATGCTATTCAGTGTTGGCCTCCACTTACTCTCTTTCTCCGAATAAAGTTGTTACGAGAAGTAATAGAATACCGGTTTTACCTTGTATTGACGTCTGGAGAGCTTGAGCATTCAGCCAAGAGAGATGCACTGCTTTTACCATCCATTGCATCAAGGTCGATCAGAGTCGTGACTAACAACTCGAGCTGTAAGAATCCAGAAGAATATAAGCAAATTATATGGAAATTTTTGATTAACTGGAACTAAAAAAACTGTAAAGATTTTCAGTATCATCGTTTTTGGACCAACCTCTTCAGGGTCAGTGTAGTCGATTCCATCGGCTTCTGAAAGCGCTGATGCCATACTTTTGTAAGCTTCCTGTTTCAACATACAAAAAAGAATCGTCAGAGAGAAGAATACTTGAGATTCTGAGAACAACACATTGTATTTTTCCAAGTGAATCAGACCTCAATAGCAGATATGCGATCAGATGAAACTTCCCCCGGGAAAAAATCGAGTGCTTTTCCGTTCTTCTCAAGAGATATGCGGTCCGTGACACCAGTTTCAGATGTAACCCTTTAAAAATGACAATTATAAGTTTAGTTCTTGGTATCAAGAAACAACAAACAAAAACAAAAAAAGTGTTAAGGACGTATATGCTTTTTTCTTACAAGCTGTCAACCATTTTCTGCACCATCATGTCGTGGATATTCTTGATGAACTGCAACCAAAAACAGGACAAAATAAGTGTAACCATAAGGCAAGAAGAATCAAAAACATCAATACTGTAACATATCAGACTTTGCTTTTACCTCTAAAGCCATTAATGCATCCTCCATTGCCCGTTGTTTAGCTCGGAAATCTGCTCGCCTTAAATCAGCCTGGAAAAATCACGCTCATATAGTGATTATTTATACTCTATGGTCACGCATAACTTTCGAGAAATATAGAGAAAATGATACGGATGTGCAATACCTCTAAGGCGCCGTCGCTCCAATGCTTATCAGCGGCATTTTTCAACTTAGACTGAGCTATGTTTTTTAGTATCTATGGACATAAACCAAATAAGAAAACTAAGAGAACAAGACAAACATAGCCAGAAGAATGGTCGATAAATGTAAATATATAAGTGTGACGATAAGCATACAGTAGCAATATGATGAAGACGCTCGGCCTTTCTCTTGACATCACGGTCTATTTTCTCTGTATCTTCTCTTGCCCGAGCTACATAATAAACCCACAAGGCAGGATTAAAATGAAGTGTGAGAACTAGAAGGTTAAGCTTTAAGCTATTTACAAAATGTATACAATTCACTTAAATCACTACCAAAGCATTTCATTCTGTCAAACATAGACTCATCCTACAAAACACATCCTATCTGAAGATAACTGTCTCAGAATGTTTCCTTGAACTGATCTCTAATCATAGCACTTACCATCCAGTTTAAGGAACCCCGAGCCAAGAATTGCAACGTCCTGACGTGCACGAGCGTCAAGTCTCATAATGCCACTGATAAGAATTGGAACATAAATCTCAGCACATAAGGGACCTCCTAAGAAATTGTTTAGATCATAATGTAAACGTTGGATAGTGAGAAAATACCGAGATAGGAGAACAAAGTCACTACGAGCCCTTTCATTCACAAACTTAGCATCATTAGACACATATTCCACCAAAACCTGGCTTGAGTTGGTTTTTCTCCTCGGCATCACTTGCTTCTCACCTTCTTTTTGTACAATTTGGGAGCTGAAAACACCACCAAGAAGAAACTTTATCAGCTAAACAAAAAGCAGACAGTTTTAATCCATTCGAAGCTAAGTACCAACTTACTTGGGTAAATCAAGACAATCCTCGTGAGGTTTAGTTTCCGTATCTTGAGACTTCCCAAGAAAGCATAATGTAGAAGATCTCCTAGAAGTAACAAAAGTAACAGGTTTTGTACAGCAAAGACCTTGTAACTCTTCAGAAGATGAGCCCTTTCTCGGTGAAAACGCCAACAAAACTCTTTGAGATCTTGAGCCATTAACCTTCTTTGCTAATATGGGACTATTTGGAATCACTTTGCTCACGTTAAGAGCCATTGGAAGGGATAATAACCCTAACAAAAATTCTCTGTAGAGATTTGGAAAATACAAACCTTGTTAATACAAAGAACTGGACTTTAGAATCAAATCCACCATATTGATTCACATAAAGGCATAAAATTTCCCTAAAATTTATAAGAAATTCTAAAGTATCCATCCATTGGGCGAAGGAAGAGAAGCAAAGTAAGAAGCTTGAGATCATTAGACTCTAAGAAGAAAAAATTAGACAAATTTCTCAAACAAGAGATTACCCACTTGAATCAAAACTCAAATTCTTGATTCCATAACTAATTTAGGACAAACCCATCAAGAGAAATTCTATCATTTACAATAAGGAATCGGAAAGATAGGATTTTGAAGCACCGAGTAGAGAGAGACAGAGAGAGAGGGAGACTAACCTTGTGAAGTAGATGAAGAAGAGAAGAGAAGAGAAAATCCAAATTGGGATAAAAGAAGAAGAAGAGAAGGAGGAAGATGACAAAGAGGGAGAATTATAAGATGGGAAGTAAAGATTGCGAACCACAAGGGTTACTTGTGGCCCAGTGTGAGCCAACCATACCGTAGGTTTCTATTTCCAATCTCTGGTCCTTGTTACTGTGTGGGACCACTCTTTCCTTATATTCAATACTTTGGTTTCCTTCTCCAAACACCGTGAACTCGTCGGTGGGACCTACTCTTATCGGTCGGAAAGCCAAATTAGTCGGCTAGGCCGGTTGATTTCACAAATAAGGAAAAATTTCACGATAATATACAGTCTAAACTTCTATTACTATCTAATTTTATCAATTGTTTTTATATATTAAAAACAATACGCTGAGAGCATCAGCATCCTAAAGTCCATTTAGGTCTCTCAAGTCATATTATACTATTATTTTAGATTTAGAGACTGTAATAAGAACTCTTAATTTTGGGCTGTCCATTGCAGAAACCCAAATGGATTTTTTTTTAAAAAAAATCCAAAAAAAATCCAAAACAATTCTTACAAGTTACAGCTACAATAATTGAAATTAAGATAAATATAAGAAACTTTCAATCGACATAATCTTCAAATACCACCAGAGAAATTCATTTAACCCGAATCCAAATCAAACAAATCAAACAGCCCATCGATCATTATAATCATCTCTAAAATAAAACAAAACAAAGGATCATAAAAAATGGGAGAATACAGAGAACAGATCAAGTATACAAAGATTAGGGTTTAGAACGATTACTTGGGTGGCCCTCACTAAAATCCTCAAGCTCCGACGCAGATAATCTAGAAGCCGTCAGAGGAACCGTAACTATCGTAAAGATTCCATCGGAGAAACACAGACGTCGGCCGTCGACGGAGAAAACAAATAGCGACAAAAAAGGTAAACTGAGAAATATTATTTTCTCAACAAAAAATTTTGACCAATAAGGAGACTACACATGGCGGCAAGAGACGTCTCTTATTGTTTCGAAATAAAAAACGTTTTTTCAACATTTGGGCTGGATTCTATTATTTTTTATTAAAAAATGATAAGAAACGTCTTAGAGACTGGGATAAAGATGGTCTGATTATTCTTTTTTTAGGGGTTATTGAGAGTTGAATTTAGAAAGATTTTGGTTAATTTTGAAGTTATGAGATTTGTTAAATCTTCCAAAGGTTTGTTGGATTTATAAAATTTACTGAGAATTTTGTGGATTTAAAAAATTCATAGAATATTTTTAATATAACAGACTTTGATTTATGAGTTAAATTGTAAAAAACAAATTATCCCAAAAATACCAGATTTTAATAGAATTATAGAATCATTGAAATAAAATTTTTTTAAATAACAATAGATTTTGATTAGATTATAAAAATCATAAAACCGATAACAATAATAACAATAGATTTTAAAGAATGTTATAATCCATAACTAATAACAGCGAAATCTATTAAAAATATAAAATTCTACAAACCAATAACCATAGAATCTAAAACTCTAAAAATCTTCATAAATCAACCTTCCAATAATCCCTTTTTATTTTTTTTATTCATTGGTTCATAAACATTTATTTATTTTACAATAGAATATGAAAATTTTTTTTAAAAAAACAGGTAAACAATAAACACTATTTGTCATCCTAGGAAAAGCGTTGTGTTTGAGGATTTCAAAAAAGTTTTGTGTCATAAGACTCCGAGAAGAATTTTGTGCTGAAAGATCTCTTATAATTTGTGATATGTCGTAAAATGGATGAACTGGAAATGATAAGTTATACTTAAATCTATTATATAAAAGTTGAGTTGTGTCTCACAATCTTAACACATCAGCATCTATCATTTTGACACATCAGCTTTTCTATTAATTGATTGTCTAATTTTTTAGATTTCCTAGAAACTTAAATATTCTTCCATAAATCAAAGTGACAATATAGAATTATAATAGAAATTGATTTAAGTTTTTAGTATATAGACAATATGAATATAATTTGCTCTAATCCCTCAGAATAACAAAACCCTAGCCTTTTTAGAAAAATAAAAGTGTCTTACTCGGTAATGATCAAATACATAATCCAAGGATGGATTTGTGATAACAAGTCGTGGATGTGATGGTGGTGAACATAGGATGCTTCAATACAATCAGAAACTTTGCGGCAGTGGATAAGGCTGATGATATGGTCCATGGATCGTATACTATAAAGGAAGAAGAGGAAACACAGAGAGAAAAAATTGTACATGGAGCAGTGGTAAGAGAAGGGCATGGGATCGTTATGGATCTGTGGAGAAGGAAAAGGAATAACGGATAAAATGCTAGGAGGAGGACATGTGATCGTTATGGATCTGCGGAGAAGGAAAAAAAAAACGAATACGAAGGCCAAGATGAGGAAGATGAGTACCAAGGTTTTCATCGCAAAACCAAAATTTCAAGTTATCTTTTTACTACGGCTTTTTCAAGTTCCATATCGTCAATCCTTAATTTTAATTTTAACCATCATCATCACACAAATGTTAAATCACTATAAAATATATATTGTTATTAGTTTTAAATTTGTTCAATATATTTTTAGTTTTTTTTTTGGTTAAAGAGTCTTCAATTCGTTTAATATATTGATATATAGAATTTTCAGTAGTAATTTTTTTCCCTTTACATCACATCTCAATATGCGAGTATACTTGAATAATGAGACTTTCTAAGGGCATCTCCAATGTATAACTTCATAATTTTCTCTATTTTGAAGTAACTGATGCTAAGAGAATCAAGGGTTACTTCTAGCTTCACGTTTTTAAATTTATAACCCTAAATATCTGCAAGTGCACAGATGTACGCTGTAATACTTAAGGGTCGAACCACAGAGATTTTCAGCTTTCAGTGCGAAGCAATCAAAACTTAAGACTAATAGAACAAGCAAAATGGGGGTTTTTGGTGTCACTAAATCTAAAAGCAATCGAAATTAACAAGTTGTACAACAATAAGAAACATGCGCTGGGTTCAAAGGGTTTTTGCAGGAGTTCATGAACTGATCAAAAGACATAAATCAATAAAGGTAATCATCTAGTGAGGATCCCGAACTAGAATAGAACCATATAAGATTAGCTAACTCTCGTCACCCTAATCATCTAATCACTCAACACAGCAATTAACTCTCGCCCTCATGCTGCGAATAAGATCATGCATTATAAACAGAATTCATTCACGCTCACGATTCTCTACAGGTAGCTTTCGTCTCCTGTAGCGAATTCGCTCGATCACTTCTAGGTCTGGTAATTCGATACAGCACTCTCGTGGCTCCAATTAGTGGAATCAATTTCTAAGCGGCTAGCAACAGAAACAGCATAGTGAATAAGAATGAACGAAGGATTCCTAGAGGATCAATAACCCTAAATAGAATGAAGCATATAATCAAGACATGAAATTCCCTTTGAAAAATCCCTTAAAAACCCAACTGGGAAATTACTAAGACATAATTGAATTCAACATCACAAGAGTATTCAGAATGCAGAGAACTGAAATAGACAGAGTTTAGAAACGAAGAACAGGTTGAAGAAGGAGGGCCGATGGTGCCCCTCTTGGTGGCTACTCTTCTGGGCGAGCTTCTCTTCTAGGGTTCCTGGTGAAAAATGTGGCACCCCCTTTCTAAACGACTTAAAAGGGGTTTATATAATGTCTCGAGTCCTCAGAAACGCTTAGGACTTGCAGGAATAATGACGGGAGTGACTTGGGCTTTGATATGGGCTTTTGAGGCTCGGAATTGAGCTCCCCGCGGTCTAAAATTTCGCACCTCCGGCGGATGACGTTTTGGCCGCGGGTGAGCTTCTGACTGTGATGATCCGCCTTCAGTGTATCGATCATATATGGAGATCTAACCGTTGGATTTCTTTGATTCCACTTGTATTGGATAGCTGGTTGTCTCCTCTATCTTGTGTCAAAATTTGGGGATGAGCAGACAGTGGGAAGATCTCCGTTTGCTACCAAACTTCCGACGGTATGAATTTATCCAAAGTTATGTTTTTTGCTCCCAAGTGCATTTCTTTTGTCAAAATAATCTGAAAACTCTTTTGGGATTCTAAAACATAGAAATCACTTAAAAACCTTTAAATCTGAGTGAAAAAACCTGCATAAGATATTAAAAGTGATCCATAAAAGTGGTCAAAATCAAGTGTTATCAACTCCCCCAGACTTAAACCTTTGTTTATCCTCAAACAAAACCAAAGATCTGAACCTGGAAAAGAGGTTTGAAAATCGCAGCAACTAACAAAATCTCAGAGATCATGCTTCTAAACTAGAGTTAGTCATTATGCTCAAATCAAGGATAGTCTAGAAAATTCTCACCAAAGTACAGGCATAACTAGTCCATTGATCCGTCATGCGAAAATCCAGACACTTAAACTTATCTTCCAGCCAACTAGCTCTTAACATTCATTCAAAAGTTCAAGTGGTTATCATCAAAGGACTTTAGTAAAGCAATCAAGGCTAGGTATTCAAAATGGCTCTTTCAGGGTGAGGTTCTCAGTGTTGAGGGTTACTTTTTTTCTGAAAAGACAAGACATTATCCAAAATAGCAAGAGAGGATGGAACTGTTAATGCCCCCACAGTTTCCAGTCACATTCTCCTTGGTTCAAGATTTCTGATCTCCTTTCTTCAGGTTCTCCTTATAGTTCCCCCAGACTTAGATTTTTGTCCAGATTGTGAAACCATAACTTCTTAAATGAATACCTATTGCCTTGGCTCAAGTGATTTCGGCTTCTAAAACTCTTTTAGGCTTTTAGTTTCATTTCCTTTCTTTCTTTTTCTCTTTTTTCGTTTTTTTTTTGAAAGGGAAAACTGCCTTTTGACTTGGAGTCTTAGGGAGCACGAAATTTACCTTTAAGAATGAGCTTTTCTGAGACATCATACGATTTCTGGCACACTCCCTTCTGGTCTCTTTCAGTCTTTCTCTTGAGTGACTAAAAACTATGTTGTTCCTCCCTCTCCGGCGTTTTTGCACATATCTGTCGATATAAACTAAAGAGAGAATGCATGAGGTTTAAACATAAAGGTTTGGGTAAAGGGTGCGGTACCAGCTAAAGAGGAGCTGGCCATCTAGGACAACAAAGAGTGG